TCACCTTGAACTACGGTGTGTCTAGAGAAGTAAAACAAATAGTAAATCAGTTGGGGGTGGGGGGTTGAGCTCACATCAGTTTCTCCACATCTGGACTTAAGCCTTCTGACTGCTGTTTTTCTTACTCTTTGCCCTCATTGTATCCCTTCTGTCATAACATGCCCCTTTCACTTTGAAAGGTGATTTCCTCCTTTCAGAAGGGAAGCTACTGTAAGCGGTGGTTACATTTTATATGACAATAAACAGACCATATAGCAGTTGAACTTCTGGAGGAAATTGGTGCCCTGTACAGTCTGAGCTCTCTTAGCGTGGATGTGACTTTTGTCAGGTTGTGCATGTTGATGTACACCTGTAAACATCAGGGACTCTGTGCCAGCCTTGAGATAGGCTTGGACCAAGCAGTCCCTCCTCAGAGGAGTGGGGACACGTCTCAGTTGCATGATCTGCTTTCTGTTGCTTCTCATTTAAGTAGTCTGCTCCTGCATCTTTGCTGACAGAGCCGATGGAGGGGACTGCTGCAGCCTTGTGCCTACGTGGCTTTTACCAGTGCTAGTGCAGAACTTACTTCCTGCTGCTCTAAGGGTCAAAGGATTGTACCTTTTGCCCATGGTCTGAATGAAACTGTTCGTTTATGTACAAAGTAGGTTTTGCCCTACTGACTTCCTCTGAGCTGCTTTTGTGATGCTTGCTGATACAAGGGATTATTTCTGTTGCTGTGAAGTAGAAAGAGCGCTGCTTTCCCAGATGTCATCTTTGACAAATGGGGATGCAAAAATCATTTTCTAATGGGATCAGTCTTCAGTGTTCTAGCTAGGAGCAGCATCAACTGAGCCATACCAACAGTTTTTTTTTCACTTGCATCATAAATGTTGTCCTTAGTGGAGTTCTTTATCAAATTTTTGTCATGTGATGCTGACACACTCACTTCACAGGAATTTTTCAGTGCTTAAAGGAGGCCTTGGCAAGATCTGTGCCAATTTTACAGGGAGTAGAATGAGTAAACAGCTTCAACTGTGGTTGGAAGCACTGTTACATCATTCTGGGGAGGATGTTTTCTATCCATTCCATAGCATCCTTAGATATCTAAGAAACCCAGTATTTTGCTCTTTGGTTCTAGCCAAATGCCTTGCATGTAGTGCCGTCTAATTCTGAAGAAACAAATATAATCAAAGGCCAGTTCCAAGTCATTCTAGCTGAAGCTAATTTTTAAAATCATGGCCCACACTAGTTTTATGTCAGGATGTGGAGTTGAAACTGGTCACTGATGAACTACAGTGTTTAACAGATTTTAATTATTGTAAGACCTTTATTAAGCTTTGAATTTCTTTCCAGGTGCAAGTACTCTCTTGTCTTCTTACTAACTTGGTTTTTAGAAAGCTGCTGAACCTTATATTGGTTCTTCTGATTGTTTGAGGTTTCTGGCCTGTCTTCGGACCCCGGCCACTGAATATCCCTAATGTATCTGAAACATTAACTGGACCTTAAGTCCACTTACCAAAACAAGAATTTTTTTTTTCCTGTTACAGTGGAAGGAAGCTCCCCCCTCTATTAGCTAACAGCGCTGACCAAATCAGCTCCTCCAGGAGGTACTAATGTCAGTGGTGAGTCTTGAGTATGCAGTGAGTCCTGCTTTCATTGCTTGCATAGGGGTGTGTTGTTTGAGATCTCTTAAAGTCAGATAAAACTTTCTTTAAGGCAAGTTGGGGGATGAGAGAACTAATAGGTGCCAGGTATTCCAATCCTTTGGCTGAAGTATTCATGCAAGGTGCTTCTGTAGCCTGTAAATTGTTAGACATGAGAACCTGGGCAAATTGCAGCATTTTGTCTGAGTGTTAAAGATGTTAAACCACTCACATCCAAAAACATGGAATAAGGTGCAATATATTTTGCCTTCTAACTGTAGCTATCATGAGGATTAGCAGTAATGAGAAGAAAAAGATCACTATTTTCTCATAAAAATCCTCAAAAAAAAAAAAAAAGCTGTACCTGAAGAATTTGCACAGAATTTTGACATGGGTTTTTGCTTGTGCGCAAATCCTTGGATGAAGGAGAAATGAGGCTACTGCTTTTGGTTGCTTTTAGTTCATGTTAAAGGTATTATTACTAAGCTGACTTTCAATATCCTTTTTTAGAGCGAGGTCTTCCTAGTTAATTGACATAGGAAGTTCATCATGCAATTAAATGATAAGTTCTGAAAGAGCCAGGATCTTTATGCAGTCTGTGGACCCACTGAATGATTATTACCTCTTTAGAGCAAATGAAGTGGGGATACTGATTTGAATGTGTAAGTCATTTGTAGAATGGACCTCTGTCTAAAAATAGAAAGACAAAAAGATGGGGAAATGTAGCAGTTCTTTAAAAGCTTTGCTCTGTTATCATCAGATGAAGGTGTATTGAGGCATCTTAAAAAGGGCTTAATGAAGTTAGCATTCAGCAGATGCAGGTACCTTCAAGTTGCCTGTCCTGCAGTTATCCTGTATTGGCATACGTCTGTGTAACTGGCACAGAAAGCCTCTCCTTTCCTTTTTTTTTTTTTTTTTGGCTTGAGATTTCTAAAATGTTGGGTTACAAAGATGGCAGTACATAGTGGTATGCTGTTGATGAGGTTTTGTCTAAAAGTGATAGTGATAACATATGTACAGAAAAAGAATGAGATTACAAGCTTCCCCTTTCTTTCTTCACTGTTAATGAAGACCTTGGAGGATAGATGCTTTTTGTAGGTGTATTGCATGCCTGTGAACGAGTGCTGTTGCAGTGGCAGGATTCAGAATTTGGGAATATCTTTTCTGCCTCTTGTTAGGTTGGCTGCTGATACTCCCTAGGATTTCTTCAAGCCACTGTAGGCTGAATAACCCAACTCAGCAGTACTGAAGCACTTTACCTGTAAAATAATGGGGGAGGAAAAACCTACATAAATATTTTCTTGGCTGAATATCCTTTTTCAAGATACTCTGCATCTCCTTTTTGTTCCAATTCTAAGTGACTGTTTTCTTTCACTGAAATGCTCGCATTACAGTTTGCAAGCTTAAAACTGATTGGATTTTGAAAAGGAAGTCCTGGCTGAGAGGGCAGATAATGAAGTGCTGCTGGATAAGATGTGATGAGCTCTCGCTGAGTGCCTGACGGTGTGCACAGGTTGAGATGGGCTGAGCTGATGCAGCATGCAGCTGCTTAAAGGGCTCTTGTTCTCCATGCCTATTCTTGTGTGTCTTTGCACTAGTTGTGTTCATTTTTCATCCTTTTGGCTCTCTTTTGGTTAGTTTTCTGCGGAATTAATAAACCAAATCTATTGATGAAGAATTTGGGTGGAGGCTTTCTGTGGTAAAGAGGATTGGGTGCACGTGACATAAAACACTGAACTGCGAGCAGAGGAGAAGGCAGTAGGAAAGTGGTAGCTCATGCAATTAATGTTGGGGCTGCACTTGTTCTTTGTAGTCCATAAATGTGGATTTAATGTGCAGTGTGAATCCCTTGTTTGATGTGGACCTGTTGTGTTATGTAAGCATTTAAATCAACAGACCTGGGACTTTCATTGACAAGTCTACCCCCCCCCCCATGAAGGGGAAAGAACTATTTCCTTTTTAAGTAATTATTGATTTGTTTTTCCAACTTTATAGTTGGCCTTCGAATCTTGCATATTTTCACAGTGGAGATCGCTTATCACAGAAGTTGCTACCCTAAGCAAAACCAGAGGATTTCTGAACAAGTTAAGAGCATATATATCTATTATCAACATTGTTTTGTTGTACTGCACAATCATTTTCAGAGATGATGGTCTAAAATATTTCCAAAGGTACACAGTAGCCTTTCTGAAGGAGATGTGGCAGAAAGGCAGGAGGGTGTTGATAGGAATTGTCTGTTTGGGGGAAGTACAGCAATTTTCAGTTTCCAGCTAGAATTCAGTTTCAGGAATGTGATTAATGTGCTGTATTAGGAGGAAGAAGAGAGTAAGTTCATCATGAATGTTCAGTTCCTTCAAATCCAGGTAACCACTTTGTTGCTTCAGCTCACATTTGTCAGAATCTCAACTGCAACTTAATGCTTAAATGGAGAACAAACAAAAGTCACACCAAATTTGGAAACTGTCATATACCTGTTTCTCTTCCCACGTTTCTGTATGTTGTAGTAAACATTTTTTGAAAATGGTTTGTAGAACGTTTACTTAGCATTGTCAACAGGCTTGTTATGTTTAAAAGTGTAATTGTGAGTTAAGGCTTTGTACTTTTGTTTTCAGAAACTGTTTTTCAGCCTTTTTAAAGGCATGTTTAGCCCATTTTTAAGATGCAATTCTGCAGGAGCTAAATAATAAGTAATAAGTAAATAAGTATAATCTGGACCAAATGGGGATACTAAATAATAAAGGAAAACAAGCATTTTATAGCAAATATGGGTCTTTGCATTTTTGGTGTGTTAAGTGTAATAAATTTTATGCCTACAACATTTGAAATTATTTTGAAATTGTAGTTCTATTAGAATTTTTTTCTCTAGGTAATAGAGGTAATAATAGATAATAAAGGTAATAAGATAATATCCCCACTTTGCCCCCTATGCCCCACCTCTCCCCCCAAAAACACATTCTTGAATAGAATTTTAAGTTTTCAGTTATGTTAAAAATAATATGCTAAATTACTACTGTGTAGTGTGCAGCCTTGCCACTGGGTGGGGTATAACTATCAGACTGAAATGTATTGAGTTCAAGGAGCCAGAATAGCTCCAGAGAAGAAAGGATGCTGATTTGACTTCTGGAATGCTGTAGTAATACCAGCTCTGTGGCTCAGACCTAACTGTAAAGAGCGTGTTGCGCACGTGGCTGTGCATGCACCACTTCATTGTGCACTACAAAATCCATCCTTTCTTTAGACAATTCTTCCTGTAGCATGTTACTGGATACGTTATTCAAACAGGATGCACTTCCTGCATGTTTAAGAAGCACAGTTTGTTTTCAGTTTAATACAAGTGTTGAACAAGGAGTGATTAGCTGACTTTCCCTCTTCCTTCAGGAATATCACTTAAAAATTGCATGATGTGTGATGAGTTGGAGATTCTGAACAGGGAGATTGAAAGGTTATTACAGAGCAGCAGCGTGGAAGAAGGCACTTTTAACTCAGACTGTCTTCAGCCATCAGGGACTGACTCCTTGGATGTAATTACTGATTCAGACAATGGAGCAAAATGCATATTAGAGCAGGTATTCAATGACATGAGGTACAGTACTAGGGTCTGTAAGATTAGGTTATTCTGCTCTTTTTTGCATATTTTTTTTCCTCCTTTTTCTCCTTGAGTGGGAGTGGTTGGCACAGGTGAAGATGTATATAATCTGTATAATCCTCTCCAGAGAAAGTGCAGAGGTGGGAAATGCTGATGTAGACTTATCTATATAGTCATTTTTTTCAAAATTTCCCTTCCCACAGTCATTCAAATTGAGATTTACTGTTTATGAAATAAGTGATCCACTGATGACAGATCACACCTAGGGTGGGGTCGGTCTTTTTCCTGCTCCCTGTATTTGGGACAGTGATGTGGCAATAGAGAATACCTAGAGATTATCATTGTTTAGAAAGTAAGAAGTGTTTCTAGACAGCAGATTATTACCAAAATCTGTTTTTAATGCTTCAAAACATTGATAAATGTTTCAGTGATTTCCTACACCTAGTATGGCAGGTCCCATGCATCTTTAATTGCAGAACCCTGACACACACAGTCTGTGTCCATTATTACTGTTCTTTTGTCTCCACCTAATTTACCAATTCAAAAGTGACTTTTCTTATCCTGTTAATCTCCCAAATTCTTTTTCCAGTGTTGTGCTAATGGGGCAGACTTTTGGGGGTTTTCCTGCTGATTTTCAGCCTTGTGCTCAGAAGCAAGCAGTCAGGATTCATGTTTGTTTGCTATTTCACATGTGAATTGGGACCCCGTCCAAATAGTTTGTCTTGTTCAGGTACTTTAAATAAGTGCCTTGATCCTGAAATGTTTCCCAAGGGTTGATTTTTTTATTTTTTTATTTTTTTTGGGGGGGGGGGGGGGGGGGGAGGTTTCAGATACTAATGTCATCATCTGTTCTTGAAATAAAGCTTTTGAAATGCTCTGTATTGCAAGCCCTTCTTAGTGAAAGGGACAGTGACAGGGAATATTCCTTAATTCAGATACTCAGCTGTGTTTTTTTATTATCCCACCATATAAAACCAGTGAGTAGCTGCTTAAATTTAAGTCCTCAAAGCTGTGTATGTCTTCTGTGATGAAATTTAGTACAGATTGGTAGGCCTTCCCTTCTGTAAGCCTGGATATGCCAATGTAGTTTAAAAGCATTTCTGCATTTTCATTGTGCAATACATGCTTACTAAATTTCATTCAGAATGCTTTTAAATACTGGAAATGGAATAGATTTGCTGAATACAGCTTGTTGCTGTTACAGAAGTCTTAATGGATTCACAGTGAATCAATGAGATGACACTTGTATTTTGAACTTGTTTGAAAGGTCTAAACTGTTGGTAAGTGGTGGAGGTGGTATTTTTTTACTTTCACTTTTCGTTCCTGTTTCAGTGTCTTTCTGAAAACAGAAAACTGTCAAAAGGGCAAAATCACAGAAATTGGTTTATAACGTAGTGGATACAAAACAATTCCAACCTTAAGTATACAGTGGTAAGATAAGCTCATAAATACATTGGTGTCTTATTTTGTCTCCTTTTTTTCCAGGTGTCAGCAGGAAAAGGACTATTTTCATTATTTGGTCCTGCTGACAGCTCAAAGACTCAGTCTGGCACTTCTGAATCAGGAAATTCAGCATGTGCTGGAAGGATAATGCTGAATGACTCTGATCCTTTGCTGCCCTCCTCTGGCTCTCCTTTTCATTCGTCTCAAAAGGGAGAAACCGTTCAAACCTCTAATGCTGTGTCAGGTAAAGATATAGAGGGCATTGAATACACTTACTTTTTATATTTTATGTGGAATTTAAGTCTCAAATTGGATTACCTTTGCCTGTAGCTTTTAGCATTTCTTCATCTTCAAGGTAAACAAAGATGTAAATTTTAAATATTTCATACTCTGCTCTTCCATTGCAGCCTTTTTCTTATGTGAATATAATGTTAGTGTTGCCCTTAAAAACGAAACAAATATAGTTAATGTTTGTTTTGGAGAACTTAATGGAATTTCCTATTGGATTGAAACAATGTCAGCTCTTTAATTTTAAGCCTGTAGTACTGTAGTAATTTTTGATCCTAACTGAAATGTTCAAATTTGATCTGGAATCAAAATGATGTTCTGGAATCTGCTGTCTTTACAGCTATATGTATAGTATGTCACTGAAATGACTTTAAGTTGCAATTTAAGTTCCTTTTTTTAAATATCAGTGTTTTGGTTTTTTTTTTTTTACAATTCTCTAGCTTAATTGTTTGCTTAGCATTGATAGTTACATTTATTTTAACACTTTGTTAAATGTAATGATAGAAAATAGGAATTACATTGTAGAGGGATCATGTGTGATACAGCAGAACAGTGATGCAGCTGATGCAATATGTGAAACAAGGAGGCATTTATCACCAGGGTACACTGCAATATTTGGAAGCAGATTGAAAAGCTTGCTAAAAAACGCCTCTGAAAGGTGTAGCTGTAATATATATATAGCTTTGATTCTTTCAGCAACCGCTGTTATTTAGGAATTCTGTTACCGTCTCCATTTGGCTAACCTGTATAATTCTTGTGCCAGGAAGATGCATATAATCACCCCAAAAACATGCGTGGGGGAGAGCTAGTTTTTTTTTTCTTAATTGTCTTTGAAAGTACTGTTTGTTTTTTCCACTTAATTGTGATATACTTACTGCTGCATATTATAGTCTCACATAAGCAATGTGATTGTAATGACAGCAAAACATAGTTTCTGAATTCTAGGAGAGCATGCAACTCATTTAAAACACTGCGCTGCAGAGTAGTACTAACTTTAATACCTGTTTGAACCAGATGACTACTGAATACTTGAAGTGCAGCCTAAGATTCTGTATTTATTTCAGTCATTTACTTAAGTCTTCTCAGATAAGACAGTCCCCTAGTATGCTGGGAGAGACTTCTGAGGAAAACAGGGGTCCTGGTTGTCAGCATAGACTTCTTCTATTCCTGTAGCTCCATCTGTCATAGTTGAATGATATTTTTTGGGGGTGTCATTCTGGTAGAATGACACACAGGCTGAAAACCTTTTTGTAAATAACAGTATCAGGGAGCAGTGTTTCTCAGGTTTCATTCAATTATTTTTTTCCCCAGAGAAATGCTTGAGAAGATACTTATTTTGCTCTATTTTCTATCATTTTTTTCTAGCCAGTAAACCTTGTTAGAGGAGAAATGAGGGGAAAGTGTATTGCTTTTATCCTGAACACCCAACAGAGTTTCTGAAGCAATTTAACAAAACAGCAACTAAACTCTTTAATAAGTAAAATACAGACCTAGTAAAACAGTTACTTTCAATAAGGATGGTTCTTTTTTTCCTCCTGTTTGGACACTTAGTCAAAGAATAATCAGTTTTGGATTCTAAACAGCGATAGCTTAGAAATTCTGTAAGCTGGCTGTTTCTACTGTGTGTTTTATCCTACTGCAAGCAATCAGCTCACCTTTCTAGCAGAAAATGTTATTGGTACCAAGTACCAACCTCATCTTTAAAACAGGAAACATGTCTGCACTGTCTTGATAACTCCTTGCTCTGCTGCATGGTCTTGTTCTTCTGGTACTGGTGCATATGTAGTTCCTGTGTTCCCCTGTGGAGTTCAATTGCTACAAGTTTTTTTCCCAGACAAACCCCAGAGAACAGGTTCGTACCATGAAGGAGTTTTTGAGAATTTGAATATTTGTCCATAAAATAGTGTGCAGATGCACCTGTTTTCTGATCTTGTAAGAGGTACAATAGCATACTTCTGCAGTAACTTTTTTGTTCAAATCTATAAAAAAAAAAATAATATATATTTTTTTAGCTATTATGAAAGCAACTGAATGAAGTATGTGTTTAGGGTTTAAGCGTACATGCTGTGCACACATTAAACTTGACAAAGTTGATTTTATTGATGATTTAAGATTATCAAAATAAATTGCTTGGCTCTTACTGTTCAAAGAAAAGAAATATCAGAAATGCTAAGGCTCTTGAGTAAAATATGGCAGTATACTGTCTAAACCTGTATATTTAAAGTTTTGTTTTTGAAGGATTTCAGTGAATTTTTGCTGGTATTCAGTGACTTTAGTGGCTTGTAATTAAAGTTAGATATTTTGCTTGCTCTTTACAATAAACTAGTGAGTTTGTCAGAATACTTAATTACTTAGGCTATGAATCTTTTTGAAACTAAGCTTTGTGTATTGTTTGTCTTCAGCATTTCAGGGTGGGGAGAGTGGCGTCTGTACTATGGAACAAGCTGTAAGTTTACAGCCGGCGTCATTGGAATCTGAATCTAATACTGATAACATGGAAAACAGTTCCCCTGGTAAGATTTCTTCTTAAATTCATGTAGAAAAATATGCTTATTTGTCCATCCTGTACTATATGTTCTTAAATAACAAGTTTGTAGCAGTTGGATTATTTTGGCACAGCATTCAGTGATGTGCTTACTTGCCACAGCTGCAATATATATGCACAACAAAGTATTTTATCTGTTTTCAGATAAAATGAGGTGGAGGTGTTTGTATTTATTACCACAAATAAAATAATACTATGTTGGATAAAAAGTGTAGGAAAAACATCTCTTGCCACAAATTCAATAACTATTACCTTGTTTTTAGCATCAGCTTTGGATGAAAAAGGTGAGCAAAGCAATGAGGAGGAACAAAAAACTATCAAACCTACAAGCAAAGAGTTCAGGAAAACCTGGGGTTTTCGAAGGACTACAATTGCCAAGAGAGAAGGTGCAGGAGATATTGATATGGACTCCAGTGAACAACAGCCGCAGCAGCAGCAACAAGGCTTAAACCTCAGGCGTAGTGGGCGACAACCGAAGCGAACAGGAAAGAGTGGAAGAATTTCTTACAACAGTAAGACGCAGGGGAAGGAGGAATGCTCCTATTGCTTTGGAAGATTCAAGTGAACCCGCATCCTGTCCAGCCACAGATGCTGAAACTGCTTCAGAAGATAGCATTGAGAGTGCTTCTGATATGAAACCTGTGACTCGGAGGAGTGTCACTAGGAGTAGTAAGGATCAGAAAGGCTCTAAAAGCAGACGCACAAAAGATGAAGAGGAGGAGGAGGAAGAGGAGGAGGAAGAAGAAGATACTTCTGATAGCGACAGCGATGGGTTAACACTAAAGGAACTGCAGAATCGACTAAGAAACAAACGTGTTGAACAGAAGCCTGCTCAACTGACACTGAACGATATACAGACCCGCCTGAGAAAAAGACCTTCTGAGCAAGATCCTACAGAAACAGGTGATGTCCAGCCTGAAAATCAAGTTAAAGCTGAATTACCTGTCAAACAGGAGCCTGAGATTATAGATGGCACCGAGGTTGCAAGTCAAGTTACTGTGTCTGAGGAAAACACTGAAGATCTTCAGGTTCAGAAGGAGATAAAGCCTACTGTTGGAGTAAAAGGGGTTGCGGACGAAGGACTTGAAGAATTGCCCAAAGGAAAACCAGAATCTGAGATTTATGACCCCAATGCACTGTATTGTATCTGTCGTCAGCCTCATAACAACAGGTAGGCAAGATTTTCAACGTAAAGTGCAATGCGAGTAGCTGGAGTTCTTCTGTGATTGGAGAAAATAACCCAAATTCCATAGCTTACTTCTTGGGTATATGCAAATGAGCTTTTGGGTTCATTGGAAGATTTGGGGGGTGGTTTATAAGAAATATTTAGGAGGGAGTCAACTAATGAAAACAAATGAACAATGAAGCAAAACAGTATACTGATACCTTAGCATGGCAAAGATCTGTGTTAAAATACTTGTCAAACTTTAATTGGCATATTATTTCCTTATGTTTTACTGTTCCCTGGTTCTTTTCAGGTTTATGATTTGCTGCGATAGATGTGAAGAATGGTTTCACGGTGACTGTGTGGGTATCTCCGAGGCTCGAGGGCGGCTGTTGGAGAGGAATGGTGAGGACTACATCTGTCCAAACTGCACCATTCTCCAGGTGCAGGATGAGCCTATTTCTGAAACAGAGCCGCAGGAAGATAAAGGAAGTCAAATAAATGTGGATGGTACAGAATTCACAAGCATTGGAACAGTTGAACAAAAGTCTGTTGAGGACCAAGGGATCAAGGGTAGGATTGAAAAAGCTTCAAATCCAAGTGGGAAGAAAAAACTCAAGATATTTCAACCTGTAAGTATTGTAATTGTTCATTGTTGTTCATATTCCTCAGAGTACATTGAGGCAGTGACTTAGGTTGTATAGCAGTAAATCTGATTTTTCTTTATAGAGCTAAATACAAAGCTGAACAACCCTCTAAGTATTACTGTTCAGTATAAATTCATCTATAGATTATCACTGTGGGAACTAACTAAAATAAGAGTGTTTTGAAGTAGGCGATTTAAAAGTTTTGTGTAGGTGTAAGGAAATGCCGTACTATGTGCTGTATGGTATTCTGATTTTTTAAGAATATTTTTAGAAATCAAATTATGTGGTGGTCTTTTTTTATGGAAAAAAGCAGAATTTTGAACTGGCTTATTCTATCTTTAAAATCTCAAATACTTTTGGATATCTTCCAACGAGGGTGAAAGATTTTACTTAACATTGCCAAGCATCTCTCTTAGAATTAATACCAACTGTACTAATAGCAACCTTTGTACTTCCAGTTAGTCTTTGAAGTTCTGATATTTTCAGTCCTGATGCTGCTTCAAGTTGTTAGTATGTAGGGAATTGTTTTATACTGCCTTTTGGAAGAGTAATAAAATGTGTATTTCAAATTATTGCAGATGCTGGCACAAAATATAAAATAAGCATAAATTTTGTAATAGTAAGTTCCATGCCCAGTTCAAAATACAGGCAAAGAAGCTTCTTCAACTCAACGCACACAAATTTAAAAACTTTGTGCTGCAGTCATACTCTTTATATTGCTGAAGCTACTGTAGTAATGACGTTTTTCTTTGCTCTTCAAGGTATATTGAGAGGAACACGTAATATTATTTGTTGTCAGAATGCTACAGCTGTTCATATTTTTCTGTATTAATATGTTCTTTGATGCTTAATCTTTGAATTTTGACATCATATCCAGACTAAATCTAAAGTTAGATTATATCTGGATTATCTTTGGAGAAATCTTCCTGTTGTATAAACATCTACAATAAGTTTATGGGGAAAAAACAGTTTAAAAATCAGAACTGCTGATATCAGCACAATGAGCTTAATGTATAGATCAGAGCAGTGTGAGCTTAATGTATAAGTATTTACTATTTTAGGATAAATGTGGGGGAAACACTTTCTCCAAAAAGTTTTTAATAAGTTTTGTTGTCATCTGAGTAAATTAGGAGTGACGGCTGAGTTACCTGAAGTTTGGGTGCTTCCTAGGGCACATGAACTCATACTTCTTTCTTAAGCTTCACAATTAAGTGTATACATGATGCAAAGGTATTCTAAAGCATTATCTTCAGTTTCATGTGAAAAATCCCAAACTGTGTTTTTTTCAGATCACAGAAATTAACACTGTCTTACTGACTTCTGAAGAAAAAATAACCTATATAAAAATTAGCTTTTTTTTCTGAAAATATTGCTGAAATACTCATTTTGATAATGACAAATTGCAGTTTGTGGATAGGGGAGAGACTGCCTAGAGCTCCAGCAGTTTTGAGTATTAGGTCAATTGCGTAACATAGTTACATAACATATTTGAGTAATCTAGAAGACTGAACAAGTGATGCTAAAGGCATAATACATAGAAGGTGGTGTGTTCTTAAGTATTTCTAGACTTTGAGCTCATGTACTCTGGCTTTTAAGGAATGTTTTATGATTTAAATCTTAAAATTGAAGATTAACTCACTGCTTAGTATATAACATTTCAAGATAAATTGGGAGCAATGGTGAAGCAGAGGAAAATACAGACTCTGTATGTGAATTTCTCAATGTGTAAAAAGTATTAGGCAATGGCAAAATTATGTAGGAGAATGGTTGTGTTTGTCAGCTGCAGGCTGGTTATATTAACATTAGTAAGCCTCTTGAGCGAGAATTACCTGTACAGCCCAGGCAGAGTGCCTCCCTCTGCATGTGTGCCTGGTGGAGGACAGCTGCTGGTGGTATAGAAGCAAAATGTGTTTTAGAAACCTTGCTCTTGAGAAAACCAGCTCTGTGTAATTAAGGTTTCTCACACAGCATTGAGGATCAGCAAAAAGCTTTTGTGTGCTTATGGGATCTGAAAATCAACCTCCATTAGTTTGTTGTGAGAACAGTCACTTGAAAATACAACTCAGTCTGAAAACACTGTTGCCAGAGTAAAATTCTTGTATTTGTGTGGGTTGTTTGTGGTGTCTCAAGAACAAACTGCAATTGTGCAAGTCACTGATAGTTATAGCTGTGGTCTGCACGTATGGTATGTAAGTTCTTCTTGTTTGAAAGGTATTTTTCTATCACTTCCTTTTTGAAGTTTGAACTTGCTCTGCTTCAATCTGTAGGTGATTGAAACTCCTGGTGCATCAAAGTGCATTGGTCCTGGCTGTTTTAATGTGGCTCAGCCTGATTCTGTGTACTGCAGCAATGACTGCATTCTCAAGCATGCTGCAGCCACCATGAAGTTTCTAAGTGCAGGCAAAGATTCAAAAACAAAACCTAAAGAGAAGGTCAAATCCAAATCTGAAAAACCCAGCATGCCAAAATCTCAGCTGCAGGTAAGCTTATATTCATTATCTGAAACAGTTGTGCTGAAGCACAGTGGCTTATTTCTGTGCTCTCCTATTTGAGACAGACAAAATTGCAAAGTCCTGCATTGAAGAGCTTTCTTACTAGTTCTCTTGCCTCTTATCGTGGAAAGAGCATTGTTCTGACAAAATGTTCTCCTGTCACTTTGTTGAAATTTTAATAGTAGAACCTAGCTAGAGATGATTTCTTGAAAGGACCTTCTAGACAATACCATGCTTTTTTTTTTTTTTAAAAAAAAAGTTAAATATAAGCAGTACAATATCTTACTTTATGGATTATTTTTCCTTTTTTATTTAATTCCAAATTACTAGGTTTGGGGCAATAATTTGGAAACATTGTGAATCATAAGCCAACATGTTACTGTATTATATCTGTGTTTTGGAAAGTAAAAAGATGAAATTAGAGCCTCTTTTCCCTTTTGAAACAACTACAGGATGACTGGTAGTTTTTCAAACAAAAATTGAGAGAAAACAGTTGTTTTGAGGTTTTAATTTTTTAACCATTCTCTGCTTCTGAAGGTACAATGTGTTATGTTTTGCTTTAAAAGCTAGAATGTGAAAATGCTTAATTTCAAATGGAGTTTACTATACATATAGGTAAACAAATTTATTTTATCTGTTTGCAAAAATACATTATATGTGAGCATTAGTAATTAAGATTCTTCTAATCACTACAGACAGGTACTAAACCTCTTTCAAACCAGAAGAGACCATATCCTGAGAAAAGAGAGATGACTGTGAAGAAGGTTTTGACATCTACCAAGACTGAGGCAAACACTCAACCTTATGCTAAAGAGCCAGCAGTAGAAAACATCACACCTTCCTGGGCAAGCGATCATAATTACAATGCTGTAAAGCCTGAAAAGACTGCTGCCATTTCATCTTCACTGTTGTTCAAATGTATGTATCGCATAGGGATATTCCTGAATAATCACTTACATTTTCTTTGAATACCCATCCATTCTTGGCTCTGCAAGACTAGGGAGTTTAGGATATTTTTATTTTTGCTAAATATGGTACAAAACGTCTTTTCTCCACCTTCAAAGATTCACACACACAGATGCACGTAAATGGGAAACACGTGTTGAAGTTTCATTTGTATCATATGACAGTTGTATGATTAAGAGCCTGTCAGTCTACCCAGCTGATCTGTGGATGCAAACTTCATGATTAAGCTTTAAATTTTTCCCATAAAGACAATAACTGTGTATGATGTGGAAAAGGTAAGTATTGTTACGTTTGTGTGAAGTTTAAAAAAAGGTTGCACAGTGGTGCACCTTGAATCAGCAATTGAGTGTACTAATTTGAACTGTATTTTTGTGATTTAGATTTGGCACCTTTCTCTCAGGTCTTGCATTTTCATTGCTAGTGCCGAGAATGAAATCTTCGACGTGGTGTCCAACAATTCTTTACACCTCTGCAAACAGCTTTTAACTGTCAAGCATACTCCAGCTCTTCCTGCTGCTTTTCTTCCTTACATGAAATAATTTAAGGACCATTCTTTAATTTTAAGTTTGGGGGGAGGCAGTACTTTTTTTTTCCTTTCTATTTATATGATCATACTTCACACATTATCCACACACGCAAGAACACATCTTAAGTGGGTATTAGGCAGAAATATTGCCTTGCATATTTTTGCAGGTTTTGAATAGCATCCTTGTAACACACACAAAGGTAAGTAAATACTGCTTTGTATCCTGAACAAGTCTTTCTGATAATGACGTGTTTGACTCCAGCTAAGTATTTTGTGACACGGTGATGAAACGTCAAATGAAATCTTACATTTCACGTTTACAAAACACATGACCTAGTATGTTCTCACTCAAAGATGAATGAGTTCAGAATTTCAGATCGCCCAGATTTCTTAGCCACACTTGAGCCAATTTTACTTCTAGAAATAAACAGTTACTAAACACTAGTAACTGATAAATTCATAGATTATACTTATCATTAAGATTAGACTTTCTAGGTGTGTTTTTAAGATAGGTGGTGATCCCTCAGTGTTTATATTGCTCAATTTACTACTCTAGCATATACCATACTTACACTAGACCTGTTCTAATTTATTTACCCAAATGAAAAGTTTAAAGGGTTATAAATTCCCTGCATTGTTTTGTTTTATTGGTTACGTAGGCCCTATGCCTCTTTCTATAATGAACTCTTAAAACTTTATAACTTTGCATTTAAAACTTTTTTCTAAAAAAAATGTAGCTTTATCATTGGAAACTGTAGCATTTTAAATGCATCGAACTAGTGAGGGAGAGAGATCTAAACAAAACTACAAGGGCTTATTTTGCATGTGAAATTTTTATCACGCTTTCTATATATAATTACAAATGTCAATGTAACTGTATCACTTAAAATGCTCTTATTGCTATAGCTTATTTTCCTTGGAGACAGGAGTACAGGATTTGAGGAAAAGACATCGGTGGGGGTTTTAATTTTTAAAGGGTTCTTAAATTTTACAACATGGAAGTTGCACAGATTTAAGCAATTTTAATAGAAAACTGGACTGCCTTAACTAAATTGTTAAATTAGTGCAAAAATCTGTGTGTATGCTAGACTTCAGTAATTAATAGAAAACAACCTAGTTCGTGTGATGAAGATCTCATACCAAATGCAAGGAAGGACTTCAGATTGCTGTTATTAAGGTAAGCTGCACTGATATGTGGGGACTCTGTACCACACTACTAAATTACCAAGTAAATTATGTATGTATTTGGGTAAAAAGGTTTTCCTGCCTTATTGATTGGACAGGTGTGGTCTATAATAATCTTCCTGAGAAGCTGCTATTGCATCTTCTTTAAGAGTATTCTGTAAGATCTATTTAACAAACTTTTATTTGTTATTCAAGACATAGAAGTTACAGCATTATGGAAACTGGGGGAGTCATCTCACTTCAAGTATCTAAAAGCCACAACTCCAAAACTCCAAGGTAGTTGTAAAAGAGAAATGCCTTCGGTGGGTGAAACAATTTATTTTAGATAGTAATCTTGTAACAGCGCCTTCCTGCTCAGAATTGCTTATTTCTGAGCATTGATTATGTAAGATATTAAGCTGTCTAGTTCAGACATCTTTGGTGTCTAAGCTCACTCAGTGGACTGAAGCTCACTTAGAGGAGGCTAAGGGTGGGATTCTTCCATACATAGTATTTCTAAATATGGACTCTGTTCCCAGAACTTAGAGCCATGCTCTGCAAATCCTTATTTATGTGACCTCAGTGCGACAAGGCCCTTTAGGAGTTAAGTGAACTTAACATGATTTGCCAAATTACTCTGGAATACTTTTTCCATTAGTCAGTATATCATGTTTCAGGCACGCATTTATTTTATACATCTACTGTGTACTTGTCAGATACAATGTTGTTCTTACATATGACAGCTTTAAATTGGAGAAGGAAGAAAGTCACCTCACTTCTAAAATTGTTCTTGGTGGCGAGGGCATATAGCAGGTATATTTAAATACACACCTGACCACCAAGCCCCCTTTTTTTCCCCATCCACTCTGTTTTACATTCAAAAAAAAGAGATGCAAGTATTGTGCAGTTAATAGCACATTTCTGTATCAAAGGCTGATTGCAGTGTCTTTAACAAAAGAAATACTTGAAAGACATCTGGATCCAAATCCTACCCCACATCTCCAGGAAACGTGAATTGTTTTTTTTCTCTCAATTTTTAGAAGAAGGTAGAATACTTAATATTTAAGTTGAGCAGTCAAGTCTTACAGACCGCTCTTAGTGTCTACCTTATCTTGCAAAAGATTGTTAGAGAGGGAATTGCATCTCACGTTTCAAATGTGGTGGGAATGCATGTCAATTTCCGATAGCTTTTTTATAATACTAAAAAACATTCTGAAGGAGTTGGAAAACTTTCTCTTTCTGCTGTAATTAGAACTAACCAGAAGAAAAGGCTTTGGCAAGCTATTGAGTGATTTTGCAAAGCAGAGCACAGTGCTGGCAGATTGGGAAATGCCATTGAAGAATAGTAAGTTTCTCGGCTGCTATATACAAAGAGTGGGATGCACATACACAAGGCATAGGTTTACAGAAGCATTGCATGCAATTTTTTTCTAAATTCTGCATTAAATTTCTGCAGGGAAAAAATTTCCACTAGCAGTTCAAAAAACTTTCAAACGAAAGCTCTTCATGTGGGTAAGGGAATGCTTCAAACATTCACCTTTTCCCTTGTAAAAATAAGTGGTTGGACTGCTTGTTGATGGAAAGGTTTGTGTGTGTGAAGCAGTTGAGTTCAGGTTTTCTGGTTGATAGAAAAACACTTGGAAGAAACTTTCTATGTTTTTCAGTTTTCAGCTGTCAAATAGAAGGCAGCAGCAAATACATCACCAGTTTAAGATAGAAAATTAATCCAGAAGGAGAGGAAGATGATAGGAGCTTGCTTTACCACAGTTTTTAAACTAGCCAGTCATAAGCACAAAGCATTCATGTTTGTGCTTGAAATCTGTTTGAAATTCAGCAGGCTTATCCTGTTAGACTTAAATAATCAGCTGACTATTAACTCAGGTGTTAAAGGAATGTAAACATCTTAACTACCTGTGTTTATTGGTAAAACTAGCTAAGTGCATGGGAGAGTAAACAGGTTTTATTAGGTAAACACATCTGTTTTTTTTCTTACTGTTGTTGTGGTAGAACTGGTTGAGTAAAAAACTTTTCGTTGCCACAAACTTCTGTTTAAGTAAACAGTTAAGCAGTATGGGCTTATAGCCATCTATCGTCTGATTTTGTACTAGTATTTGATAACACTGTTAATGAGTGGGACTTTAAGGGGAAGCATTCCATTAAGAAGATAAAAGTACAGTATTTGCGGTGCTCCCCGGTTTACAGCAGTGGATTAGGGAGAGACAGCTTAATGCTGCCACCTACTGGAAGTGAGGAGGTGCGGTTTGGAGAGCCCTACCTCTGGTGATAACAGTCTTGGGTTTTGTTATGCCCTTTCAATTTTCTTCATTTCTTGTGCAGTTCAGCTTTTCTATGTCTAAGACCTTTTGATAATCTGAATGATGTTTTCTTGTATAATTAATGATCCCACATTCAAATGGCACCCGGACTGCTTTGTTCGTGTATACCTTCAACAAAATACAAAGACTTAAGCATGGCAGTGCAGTCAGACTAGGAGCCCATAATCAGAAAATGTGATGTGCATACAAAAATGATAGGATTATAGCATACGTAATTCATGTATTTTTCCTTCTGTGATTTTTATAATACAGTACCAAGACAGGAAAGAAAGAATGTATGTGACTAGAAAGAGTACAGGGGGAAAATGTAGTATACTCAAGACCAGAGGAACTATGGCTCAGGAGGTAGAAGGCTGTAAATACCACTGTGGAAAGGAAAAAGTAAGGCCATTTCTGCACACAGACTGGTGCCAGTTTAATGCTTACCTTCAGACAAGTTTGTACTGGCTTAAGTTGTGACTCCTTAGTTTAGCAAGTGCGAGTGGTTAAACTTGTATTGGTTCAGCTGAACTATTACAAAAGTATTTTACTTGAACTGAGGAGCTGTTCTTAAGTCATGAGCGAGTTTGATTGCAAGGACTGACTGTTGTTAAGCTTGATGCTTCTATTTCAGTGGGAACACTCCCCTGTAGGATAACTTAGCGCATGCTAAGTTCCAAATTACTACAACTAAACGATTTCTGGTACCTGAAATAACACTTTGAAAGCCAAGGTGTCTTTGCTTAATGCTGTATCTATTCTATGATGTAGACCCATTCTAAGAAGCATTAATTATTGAATGGTACCAAGGGAATAAAAAAGGACTCTTAATTTTATGTTAGTAGCGATTTTCTGGTACTCCAGGCTGCTGTGTATGTGGTCTAGGCTTAACCCTTTATAACTAGGGGAGTTTTTTAGAAAGGCTGCTGAGGGACCAAATAATGATC